ATGGCTTCATGGTGGGGAGTTTAGATTCAGCAACAGGTTGGACTACGTTACATATAATTTTGCATGTGTCATGCTTGGATTGAAAGCTGCGCCCAAATTCTTTTGTTAACAAAGATTGGAATTGAATTAATTGCCCATCTTGCGTCGTAACACTTCTTAATTTTATCACGTATAAATAACTGCTTCACACAATATCGAAAGGTGTTAGTGTCTGAGCTGCCGACACTGAACTTGGCAAGAAAAGACTTTATCACTTCCTCGCCGAAAACAAAAAAGCAAGTCGCCCACATGAGGGCATAAGCATCTCCTCCCTGCTCACCTGGGAGGTAGTACAATCCTGGGAAAAACTGGCTTGCCTTCAGGCCGCTCTTACGTGCATCGGCATCCAAACGCAACCAAACGCCTCTTCCTGAGTCCGTGATCCCGTATACAGGGACCCTCACGACAAAAAGGACATTGGGTTCTACACCTGGGCTGACGCATGAGAAGGACTCGGTCCAGTGGTCTTCCTTCGAGATATGCCGAGGTAAAATCAGCGGAATGAATGTCGGCCTGGTGGCACGCTGCCCAGCTGCAGAGGAGGCAATGCATCTCTACATCAGTTGTTGGACTATCTGACCTCAAACCCTCTGTCATGTCGAAGTTCCCGCACGAAACTAGTCTGCTTTTCAACGTGGGCCAGTCAGGGTCTCTCCCCTTCTTGTACTCTGCTTTGTCCACATCCACCCATTTGGATGGAATGCATTGGTGCCCTTCGTCAATGAGCTCTTGCGCTTGTTCTGGGGTCAATGCCACTCTGCTCCGAAATCTTCAAATTTGGACGATTCCTTTTGCCTTGTTTCCTGCAGGGCTTTCTGCACTTCTGGAGGCGCAGACTCATGGTGAATGCTTTTTAGAACCTTCTTACCTAGCTCTGCTTTATCCTCAGTCTGGGCAAGAAAACTAGTCCACATGACATGTGCGTCTTCTCGATCTTGCTCTGGTAGCTCCCTGTCTCTCTGGCGTCAAATGATCATACACATTAGGCCATGCATGCAGAGCACTCGTGGATTCCCTGCGGGATGGTGCAATGGGGGTTCACTCTCCGTTCGGCGACACGGGGCCTCACATTGCGGCGATGCTCATTTCCTGTGTCAGGGAACGGACGTGAAACGGAGCTAGCAGACCTACTCAACTCTTCAAGCGCATCTTCAACTTGGGATTGGTCTTCATCAAAGAAATCCGGTCTGAGCCCTACATCTAACTCATCATCTTCTGGAACAGGGGGTAGTGAACCAGCATCCGGAAATTGGGGTTCGGTTTCTTGAGATTCGATGTGTATTGGGGATCCGGGTTCGCTCGGATCTGCACGTGCATCAAGGAAAGACTACTGAACACCTTCTGTGACGACGTTTTCGGGAAAAACAAGCTCACCATACAAAACAGCATGAGCTAGTGCTTGAGAAATGGTGGTCGGTGCACGTTTTTGCCATGTGGTGGCTTTGACTTGAGACCGCTGACGCATCCGCAGTCAGCGCTGGCTCGCCTGTTTGAAAGAGTTGCTTCGGCCGCGCCCGTTAGCTTTGGTAGCTTTGCTTTTACTTCGCACTCCCCATTGGTACCGGAACCCCCGAATACCGGGGGCCAAGCCATGGTGGAGCGGGTCCCTGTGCCTGAATGGGACACCGCGAACGGGCAGAGCCCGGATCCGGCTGAGCCGGCACGGACGCCTGGCAGCGCCAGCGATGAAGGAAGACCGTATGGCCAGGTAGCGCCAGGGCCGAGCGGTCTGAACGCGCCGAGTGGCTGCGGCCAAGGAGGTTTTGCCCGTCTGCTGACGGAGATGAGGAACCAGCAGCCTGGCTTCACTATGCCTCCTTCTGGCGCTATGCCAGCACCTGGACACACGCTGCCTACCATGAACCCGTTGGCTGTGCACCTATGATGCCACCGCCAATTCAAAGGTTTGGCTTTGGGACTAGAAGGCAAGGTTGGCAACGACGTCGCAAGGAAGAGGGGGCGTGCCCAGGTTCGGCTTGGGGACTAAACGGCAAGGTCGGGCACGTGCGTGTGGGATTCAGTTCAAGGAGAAGGCCTTTGCGAAGTAGTCCGTTCGACGGCCGTGGGGCCCACCCCAGGATTTGGCGCGAGTCGTGCCGGTCGCCATTGAAATTTGCTCAGCGGAGGGCAAACCCACAGCGCAAAGGCAAAATGGTTCACGGCGACCCTTGTCACAAGCGAGGGCAGGAAAGGACTAATTGGACAGCCTGCGAGACACCAGGGAGGCACCAGGGAGGCAGGAAAGGACCATTTGGACAGCCTGGGAGGCACCAGGGATGCACCAGAGAGAGGCAGGAAAGAACCAAGTGGACAGCCTCCGAGACACCAGGGAGGCACCAGAGGGGAACAAGAAAGGACTAGTGGCAACCTGGGAGGCACCAAGGAGGCAGGGAGGCAGGAAAGGAATAATTGGACACCAGGAAAGGGACGATCGACGGCGGAGGGGCGGCGCGAGCGAGAATGAGCGAGCGAAGCGCCGGCCGTCCGCCCGTTGCGAGCGCGTGCCTTGAAGTCTGCAAGGGCAAAAGCATCAGTCAAAGGTTTGGCTTTGGGACGAAAAGGCAAGGTTGGAAACGACGTCGTCAAGCCCAGCGAGCGTTCCAAGATTGGGAATTGGGCGAGCGCGATCCTGGGGCGTTGCAATGGAAGAGTATCAGTCAAACGTTTGGCTTTGGGACTAAAAGGCAAGCTTGGAAACGACGTCGTCAAGCC